GCTGAAAGGATCTTTGCTAAGAAATGAGAACCATGGAGAAACTGCCTCAAAGTACCCCTGGGGAGCTTCAAGGGAACTCAGAAGAAAGGCCACAGGGAGCCAGAAAGACTGGAGGTTAAATCCTCAGTCTACCTATCAAGTGCACTAGGACTCGAGGTATTTGATTTCCTCTTGGCCCTGAGTTTGTTTCAGTGGGTCTGGGACAGGATTGGGACTTTATATTTTTAACCAGCTCCATATGTGACTCATACTAGAAACCTGGTTTGAGGCTGTTTCCTACAAGCCATATTGCCTAGTGTTTGTTAAGCGTGGACCCTGGAGCCAGAATGTCTGGGTTAATCCCGGCTCCACCAATTTAGGAGTTGTGTACCCTTGGGCAAGTTACTTAGCCCCCCTGGCTCAACTTCCCCATCGGTACAATGGGGAGATGAGTAGTACCTGTTTTATGGGGTTATTGTGAAGATCAAGTATGCTAATTGTGGAAAGCGTTTAGAATGGACCCAGTTACAACACTGTGTTACTCTTAATATTCCAGAGCCACAGACCATTATCCACAACTCCAAAATTTTTTAAAAATTCTAAAAATCAAGAAGTTTTTCCCTGGGACGCCTGGGTGCTCAGTCGGTTAAGCGTCTGCCTTCAGCTCAGGTCATGATCCCAGGGTCCTGGGATTGAGTCCCGCATCAGGCTCCCTGCTCAGCGGGGAGCCTGCTTCTCCCTCTGCCTGCCGCTCCCCCTGCTTGTTCTCTCTCTCTCTGACAAATAAATCTTTTAAAAAAAGTTTTTCCCTGAAGTTTGGCACAAATCAATTTGGCAGCAAAACCCGATCTGTACTGATGGGAGGCTACTGATAGTCCTTATCCCTTATTCCATGAATATTAAAATTTAATTGAAGAAATATCAACACATTTGCTTATGGAATGCTGCCCCACACCCCCAATAGGTATTACATGATATACTGTGTATTTGTGTATTTCCTAAAAATCTGAAATACTCTCAACTTCAAAACACAGGGGTTTCAGAGAAGGGATTGTGGAGCTACATCTCATTATCATTTGCCGGCCAGAGACCATGTGTGATAACCAGACAATGTGAGAAAACTCGCCCTCTGGTGGTTGCAGTGGAGAACCACGCCACAGGAGGACCAGATGAGGGGGAAAAGCCCCACCATCAGAGACTTGTATCCTCTGGCCCGCAGTTCAGAAGAAAAATTCTTTTTAGAGGACATTTTAAAATGTCTTCAAGGGCTGCTGTATGGGCAGAGAAGACATCACTTCAATAAAAAAAAATTAATATTCAATTTACTAGAGTGACAAAAACATTACATAAGCTTTTTAAAGTTTGGCTTCTTGATCTTCTATTTATAAATCTGGCTAATGTTAATTACTTTTAATTAAGGGAAATTTGAATATCCAATTTATAAACTTAAACACCTTTAAACATTTCCTATTGCATTTATGTATTTAATATATTCAATTTCCTTTTTGGAGTACTTTAATTATCTGGCAAACCAAACACAAACAAAATAATACTACTAAAAATTCCGGTAGTGGAGCGCCTGGGTGGCTCAATTGGTTAAGTGACTGCCTTCGGCTCAGGTCATGATCCTGGAGTCCCAGGATCAAGTCCCGCATGGGGCTCCCTGCTCAGCAGGGAGTCTGCTTCTCCCTCTGACCCTCCCCCCTCTCCCGCTCTCTATCTCATTCTCTCTCAAATAAATAAATAAAATCTTTAAAAAAAAAAAAAAGTTCCGGTAATATAGATTCCAATACCATATATAGAGAAATGGTTGCAATTTAAAACTGATTAAGATGTCTAAATTGATTACTCAGTCACGCACTCTAGACTGGAATCACAAATTATCTTCCCCAAGTAATTTTTAAGTTGCTTTATCCGTTTGCTGAGATTTCCTAGTACCAGAGGGACTCCTGGCCAGGATGCAGATGGATTGAGCATCTGCTACCTGGACTAGAATACTCTCTCTGTTCAATAACCTTTACTTTCCAATGCTTTCATTCTCTCAGCTTCTGCTCTCAGACTCCCTCTCTTACCTAATAGAATGCAAATGAAATGCCTTTCAACACATCTTTCCCTTTATACCTAATACAACCTTTATGCCTGCAGTCAGCAAACTTTTTCCATAAAAGGCCTGTAAATATTTTGTACTTTGTGAGCCATTTGGTTGCACCTACTTAACTCTCTGCTATCGTGGCATGAAAGGAGTCATAGATATTACATAAGTAAGTGTGGCTGTGTATAAAATTTCATTCATGGACACTGAAATTTGAATTTTATGTAATTTTCATGTGTCACAAAGTATCAGTCACAATTTATTTTAAAGATTTTATTTGTCAGAGAGAGAGCACAAGCAGGGGAGTGGCAGGCAGAGGGAGAAGCAGGCTCCCCGCTGAGCAGAGAGCCCAATGTGGGACTCATTCCAGGACCCTGGGATCATGACCTGAGCCGAAGGCAGATGCTTAACTGACTGGGCCACCCAGGCACCCCTCAGTCACGATTTAAAAAAAACATTTAAAAAGGTGAAAACCATTCTTTAGCTTGTGAGCTGTACTAACACAGGCAATGGGCCAGATTGGGCTCATGGGAAGGCTATCGCTTACTGACCCCAGCTCTAACCCAGAGTTTTGCACCCAGTTAGCAGGTAAGTACTGATGTCAATTCTTGTTCTAAGTTCTCTCAGAATTCGCAGATTTATCTGAAATTTCCCACATTCAGAAGTTATTTGGCAGCTAAGACTTTGTTCAGGGAGCATTTTTTTTTTAATTTTTTTTTTTTATTTGAGAGAGAGAATAAGATAGAGAGAGCATGAGAGGGGGGAGGGTCAGAGGGAGAAGCAGACTCCCCGCTGAGCAGGGAGCCCGATGTGGGACTCGATCCCGGGAGTCCAGGATCATGACCCGAGCCGAAGGCAGTCGCTTAACCAACTGAGCCACCCAGGCGCCCCAGGGAGCACTCTTGAGTGGTTACACCACAGTGCGCCCACACAGGAATGTCTACCTTTCTGTTCATCTGTCCAGGTCTGTGTATTACTTTCATTGGGAATTGTCAGTGAAATATGGTTTTGTGTAGGCAGGTAAAATACTGTTTTTCTGTTGATTTCTTTTCCTTTGCTAACCCAGGAGGCTTAACCTTTATTATCTGGTCTAAGATGTTCCTAAATAGAGCCAATAGATTTAAAAAATTTTTCTCAATTGATGAAACTAAAGTCTGATTTTTTTTTTTTTTTTTTTTTTGGTCTTTGAACTCTGAGTAAAATTCTTTAACTTTGCAATAAAACTTACAAAATAGTAGCAAGTACATTACAAATCATCTTTCCCTAGCCCATCCGAGAGTGAATCATTGACCTGATGACACATCAACCCCTAATATTTGAGTGCTTATTTCCTCCAAGCAAGGACACTATAGAACAACAATTCAGCCATTCACATCAGGAAATCAACACCGATGTTCCCACCACCTAGTTCTTGGCCTCCTTTCAGGTTTCACCGGTTGTCCCAGTAATGTTTACAGTAAAATGATCCAGTTCAGTTTATTTAGTTTTTTTATTAGTCTCTGCAGTTCTTTGGTCATTCTTTGACTTTGGTGACCTTGGCACTTTTGAAGACTGACTATAGGCAAGTAATTTGGTAAAACAATTTGGATTTGTCTGATGGTTCCTCGTGATTACATTTGGGTTTTGCATCTTTGGCAGAAATATCACAGAAGGGATGCTGTGTCCTTCTCAATGCATCCCAGTGGTGGAGGATTTAGAATCCCGTTATTTTCATTTTGTTCAGTGAAGGTGGTCTGCCAGCTTCCCCACTTTAAAACTTTCTCCCATTGTACTTAATATTTTATGGGGAGGTACTTTAAAACTATGTACATATCCAATTCCTTATTTCTCCATTCATTCATTCATATCAGTGTAGACTCATAGTTTCCTATTTTATTTAATGGTTTGTAAGCCATTATTTTGATGTCAGATTGTCTCAGATTTGCCCAGCCTAAGTCCCTTCAAAGCTGGCTTGTGTGTCCTTTTGACATGCCCCCATCACTTTTTGACTTCCTTTATTTCTGGTTCATCTTGTGCTTTTCCTGCCCATCCATGGAAATCAGCCTTTCTCCAAATGGTCCTGGCTCCTTTAAGTGGAGAATGTAATGCCTGAATCTGGATGCTAGATGTGTGCACTGTGTCAGGGGAAGGAGACTGCTGCAAGGCTCTTAGAGCTAGAGAATGTTTGTGCATGCACACTCGCGCACACACATTCCCGTATTTACGTTGAAATTCATGAATTCACAGCAATACCTCCTGTTCAAACACAACACCAGAGTTCATTCTAGTCTTTTTCTCTTTCCAGTTTGGAACACCTTCTCTGAAAATGAGAAAGCTGACTTCCGTTATCCTTAATATTTTTGCTTATTTGATCAAGTCCCTGTTCTTATCCAATCCCATTGCCCTCCTCATCCCACTTAGGATGACTCCCTGCACTGGGCCTCGCCCCCAGCTCCCACATCCACATACCAGGCTACAAATCCATGCGGATGCCTAGCTTGCTCTGCCCTACTGAATTGCAGAATTGTGGGTGAAGGAAAAAGGGGAAGAGGAATCTAAGACTTGTTGTAATTTTATGTAAACTCCACAAAGGAAGAAATTGGATTCTCACTGATGTATGTCTCAAGAATCTAAGACAGACCTTGGCACATAATAGGCAATAAAAAAAAAATACATTCCGAAGAATCAATTTTATGAAACTATAAGGTCAACAGTTCATTTAAATTCTTTATATTCAAATATTTTAAGATATTTTCCCACCATAATGGGCAACTTTTTATAATCTCAAAAGTTATAAAAGAGACTTATGAGACAGTTGAAAGTTTAAATCTCTATTTAGGCAATGTGAAGTTTATCTTAAATTTGGATTTATGTGCATGGATAAAGCCTCCCAGCATTAAAAACACTCATTTTACCAGTCTGCATAGAAATCATCATTGTTTGGGACCAATTTAACAAAAAAGAAAAGGTATTACTTTTGAATATTATTAATAGATACATTGTTACATCAGAAGACACAGAGACAACTCCAGAGTTGGATACAGGTATGGGAGGGGCTGAAGCTTTCCTAATTTTGGAGACATTCTTTTTTTTTTTTTTAAGGATTTATTTGAGAGAGAGCAAGCGAGCAAGCAGGGGGAAGGGACAGAGGAAGAGAGTCTCAAGAAGACTCCGTAATAAGACGCCATAATAAGCCCAACACGGGACTCGATCTCATGACTGAGACCATGACCTGAGCTGAAACCAAGAGTCAGCCGCTTAACTGACTGAGCTGCCCAGGCACCCCGGAGACATTCTTCAAGGGTAAGAATTAGGTATAGGGTATTGAAGGGGGACTATGCAAGTGAGGGGCCCTGAAGTTTAAGCAGATTTGTTTTTTTAGATTTTAAGTAATCTCCACACCCAACAGAGGGCTCGAACTCACAACCCCGAGGACAAGACCTGCACATTCCGCCGAATGAGCCAGCCAGGCACCTTGCAGATCGGCTTCTTGAAGGAGTTTTGAGTGCAAGTGCTTTGGCACAGAGCAGGGGAACACACCTTAAGATAGTCCTGAAGAACTCTGCATCCAGCCTGCTCCTCTCCATATCAGGTCCTCAGCAAATCTGTTAGAGACTGCTGCCTGACCTGTGACTTATCCTGCCCTAGAAAACAAGTTCTAATGACGTTCTGCTGTTCAGGCAAGAATGACACAGAATCCCAATAAGGTCTTATCGTTTTAATTGACTTTAATGATTATTGCTCATCTGCAAGGATTAATATTGCATTCATTAAAAATCATTCAATACAAAATAAACTTGTTCTTCCCGAGTTGCTCTCCACACGCTCCCTCTGATGCCAGACATTTTCCCACAGTGTCCTTTGTTACATGGCTTGACAGAGATGGAGCCCTTACCTATTATTCCTATGGACACAGTAATAGATTGGGAGCAAGGGGCAGGCCAGAGGGCAGCGGGACCTGGGCCCCTCGCCTCCAGCAGAGCTGACACGATGGATACCACTGTTGGCCAGGTTACCGCCCCTCAAGGATGGGGTGTTCTGATTGGCTGGTTCAGTGCCCTGGGAAAAAGGGCCTGAACTGTTAGCATCTACAGAGAAGAAAGCATGGTCACACTGAAAAGGAGCGGGAAGGGGCTGGGTGGGGGAGAACCAGGAGAGGAAAAGGAAAAATGTTTTGGCAAGACTCTGCTAGAAGGCTGCAGAGTGAAAGCTTTCCTTTCTTATATTACTGTTTTTAACGTCTGTCTCTCTGATCAATGGCAACAGAGAATTGAACATTGCTAGTACCTAGCACTAATGCCTGACCCAATTTTGAAGGATCGCCAGCTAGAACAAGTTGAGGATTTAGAATCCTGCATAATTACATACTTAAAGCTCATGAGCATAAAGCTCATCGGACCATGCAGAAATGCTGGTAAGCAGGGTGCATGGCATGGGGACACACCTCTCCAATCTTTGAGGGCCTTTCTAGGGATTCTTTCCGAGCATGAGCCAGGACACACTGATTACCTTCTCTGTGCACAAACTGCCCTTTAAGATCTTGGTTCATAAACTTTTTGTGACACATGTCAATTAAAAGAGGTACCACTTCTGTAAAACTAACGTTATACATGGGGCCTAAAGTCCCAGACCAGTTATACGGAACTACATTTCCCTCACCCTGGCCCAATTTATCCCTCTCCTCCCATCCACATCTATCTCCCTTTAAATATTTTAGGTTGCAGAAGCACAGCTGACCAGGAATTTGCTCTTAAAGGATAAATCCTAAAGATAGAGCTCAGTGTTTTAGACTGAATAATGGCTCAAGAAATTCGCCTTCAGCACAAGCTGTATGGGGCAGAGCTGACAGAACTTGCGGTTATGGCCCCAGTTCACTGATGCTATAAACTATGGGCTAGTAACAGAAGGACTTACGATGAGTTTGAGGCCAGCATTTCTCCAGACTCAATTCTGCACTCTCAGCTCCGAAGGTTCAAAAGAGAAACTGGTAACAACTAATCACCCAAGCAGTTCCTCAGTGTTAACACTAAACATTTTTCTTACTCTTTTTTTTTCCTTTTTGTACAACGGAAATCAATGCTAGGGGACAAAATTAAACTTAGTAGAGTGCAATCTGGTTAAAAACTTGAAAAATGAGAAGGTCTGGTGGGAATGGAGGAAGGGCTGTACTAAATCCAAGTGGACCAACTGGATCTTAACAGTACACATCTCTGAACCGGACACACCACCTTCACACAGGAAACAGGGCTTGGAACACCTGGAGAAATGAGCATGCGCCACCTAACATCTAACCTACCTGGCTAGTGGGTACCATCCCTGCTCCTCTGACAAAGTGAAGAGCACTGATTACAGCAGCTAAGAAATGGGCTCTTTTAAGGCAATTTAGACATTGCAGATTGTTCAACAAAGAAGGTACCTTAGCATTTCCTGTTAATAAGGTACCCAATTAAGACTAAAGTCCCCAGAAATGGGAAAGAAAGAATCACCTTTCTGGGCTGGGAGAGTAAAATCCTTCTTTAGTGACTAGGGTGAGGAACCTTGAACCTCAGTTTCATCTAAAGAGCCATGAAGCAAGTTCCTGTGTGGTCTGCAGAACTTGGACGATGAGATGAAAAAAAAAAAAAAGAAAAAGAAATTATAGAAAAAAAAATCAACAGGAAAGGAATAAGAAGAAAATAAAAGTTATCTTAAAAAAGATTTCTTTTAGAGTTGTGTGGTTCATGTGGACTGGTCCTTGGTAATATGGTCCATTAGTATCTGTAAAGAAAGAGACTGGTTGGTTAGCACATGGGTCTTCCACATGAGAGCTCCCAGAGAAAAATCAGAAACAGAGGACACTCCCCAGGGTCCCTCCCTGGCCCCAGCTAGGGTTCCCTACAGCCATTCCCCGTGGATCATCCTTCCCTGTGCTTCCACAGGGTTTCTGGCAATGCCATCTCTGGTTCCATTTCCTGCTCCCTAATAATATAAGCCAATGGTTTTCAACCCTGTCTAAACATTAATCTAGGGAGCTTTTATAAAATAAGTCTGGGCCCATGCCAGACCAATTATATCAGAATCTCTGGGGGTGAGGCCCAAGCTTCAAAATTCTAGAAAACCCTTACTCCTTTACATCTACTACTAGATATACAATTTCTCTGCCTACCTTGTTAGTCTGGAGCAGAGTTCTTGTACTCTTCAAAATCAGGCACACCACTTTATTTAAGAAAGCTGGCTAGTATACTTGTTTAATATTGGGTAAAAGAGCTTCTCACTTGTTTTCCCCCAAGTTACCTGTAATAATTGGGTTTGAATGGCCCATTTTTGTTGAGTCCCAGATATTTTGCTTGGTCATCTGTCAGCTCTGTCAGGTGGGCATCAAATGATGGCAGGTGCAAGCTGGCCACGTACTCATCTAGGAAGAACACAGTGGCAGGGGAGCAGACTCCATTTCAATCTGCCTCTCAGGGCATAACCTCCCCTATTTTCATCCGAAGCTTTTCGAGAAAGAGGACAAGGAATGGAATAACTGTGAAAGCATCTATAACTCGAAATAATTGCTTAAAGAACACTCAAAGTTGCCCCTCTGGCAGGGTACTTCTCTCTGTACATCCAGAATGCATGTAGAAAGCCATTTGCCAGGGTGACAAAATGAGGTGGACTTGTACCTCCCCATCATTCTCCGGCCAAGCTTTTGGCTTTACCCCAGTGGCCAACATGCTATGTATGACTCTCACCTTCCTGCAGCAACTTCCTTAACTGAATTACAGTTCAAATTACAAATCAAAAGAGCTTTGTGTCATTAAGATTTATTTAGAATAACATCCATAAAGGCCTCAAATCTTAGGATCATGGATTTCTAAGGCAGCTGGTACAAATTTATTACTCTTTCATAGACACTTCCTGGGCTTTACTTTTATGAATATGAATTAAAGAAAAAAACAACAACAATCTGAGGTAAGCTGTTGGAGGAGATGAGAGTGAGAAGTCTTTCAGCTTTAATTAAGGGGTCAGGGGCTGACCAATTATAGACGGGAGGTGGGTGCCACTATTCAAGAAGGGAAAGAACCAGAGATGATGTATTATGCCACAGGAACAAAACACAGCTGTCCCCCAGAATATCAGAAGGTTGCATATTTACACAGAGGATGGATGATAAAACCTAGATTTCTGTTTCTCTCGTCTTGGTCCCAGGCTGTAGTCACTGGTGGTGGGAAGTTTACTGAACTCCATATGGCTACTACGAATAAGAGTATCTACCCTAGGGCGCCTGGGTGGCTCAGTTGGTTAAGCGACTGCCTTTGGCTCAGGTCATGATCCTGGAGCCCCGGGATCGAGTCCTGCATCGGGCTCCCTGCTCGACAGGGAGCCTGCTTCTCCCTCTGACCCTCCCCGCTCTCATGTGCTCTTTGTCTCTCTCATTCTCTCTGTCTCAAATAAATAAATAAAATCTTAAAAAAAAAAAAAAAAAAAAAGAGTATCTACCCTAAACCACTGTGCTAAGCACGTTTACTCATTAGCTCTAATTCTTACTACAATTCTGCAATGTATGTAAATGTTACTCTCACATTATTGATAAAGATACTGAGGCTCATGGAGATTAGAATTTGTCCTGAGGTCCAGAAACCACAAAATGCTAGGATGCGGATTAGAACTCTTGACTGTAAATCCAATACTTTCATTTCAATGATCATCATTTTACCAAATCATGCAAAAGTCTGGGGATCAATACAGGTTCCTACTGTTTCTTGCTCACCCATTTTCTTAGGAAGCAGGTATACGTCTTGTTTGTATCGTCCCTCGGGTGCATTATAGAGTTCTATCAGTGCCAAAGCCTAGGTTGGGAAAAGAGGATCAGAAAACACAACAAAACTTCTTAGACAGGGACATAAAAATAAAACTAGATCTAACAAGGTCTCGGGGAAGGTACTACAGTGATCTATCATAGTGACAGCACCCAGAACTTGGCCTGCAATAAACACCACCACACATCATCGTAAGAGAATTTGCCGCTGCTATCGTTTAGTTCCTAATATAAGAGCAGACTAAATACAACTAAGCTGGAGCCCTACATTCTCAACTAACACAGCCAACTCAAAGGGACACAAACACTGACTCTGCTTGACTGATGACTCTTCTCTACACTCAAGAAAGCCCATCTTGACCACCCGTGACCTGAAACCAGTTGAAAAAAACATAGCAGGGCACAGTCTCATTGAACTCTGACCGAGGCCCGGTTCCACTAATCTCAGGGCAGGAGAAGCAGGCATTTGGTCACATACCTGTGTTGTAGCTGTGATGGACAGAACAAAGGTGGGAACTGTGGAGCAGCTCAGGTTGAGCAGACGACCCTGAAAAGGTAAGAGAGCCCTGAGATGAGCTGTGCTCTCCCCCTCCGTCTGATTCCAGTGTCATACAAGCAAAGCAAATGCAGGACAGGACTCAGTTGGTAGAAAAATAATTACAGTTCCAGATCATGACTCTAGATTGTATCTTATTTCCTGTAAGCCCATGTGAGTATGACAAGCTAAAGCAGCCGCTGGGGTCAAGAAATACTGTGTTACTTGGTAAAAGGTAGATTTTTTTTTTTTTTTTTTGAGTGGTTCTATTTTAGGGACCAGAAAGGTTAAGAACTATATGTCTATCCAAAGATGGAGTTCAGGGAAACGTGAGCCTAATGCTTTTTCCCTGCCTCCCCCCTCTGCCATGGATCTAACGACACTGCCCTCCCGTGTGTGTACCTCTGCCAGGAGGACGACACGTTTGCCATCTGGCCAGATGACATGGTCCACCTGAGAACGCACGCGCTCCCATGTCAGCTCTGGAGTGCGCAGGCTGGTCTGAAAGGAAGACGGCACAGTTGACGGTGGCTATAATGGAAGGGAGGGGAAAAAGGCCCTGCAGCAAATCAATGAGGGAAAACTTACCACATCAATTTCCGTGTTGGAGTGGCCCATATTGCATACGATACAGCTGTTTTTCATGCGGTCCAAATGCTCCCGTGTCACTACATTCTTATTTCCTAAAGGTAAACGAGAGTAGCTGAAGAAAGATGCTGGGGAACAAAGGTATCGACTGGCTTCCAGTGAGAACATGGGAAAGAGGAGGTCTGCTGCATTAAAGGGCATGCATCCTTTGTGAGAAACGAGTACACTGCGTAACAGCTCTTTAGGCTCAGTGGTCCGGTTTTAAGATTCAACAGTATAAACAACCATCAGGGGAAAAGGCTCTTGGTTCTGGAAAACATGTTAAGGTTCTGATAGCTTATTCTGGTTCTGAGACTTTTACACCAAGCACAGGTCTCACCTACTTTATCTGAAAGTCAGACCA